TCGTATAAAATACCTATGATTTTTTAAAAGTATAATCAGAACTTTTCTAGCTATAAACATCAGGGTCTAGGGATATTTCTTTTAAGACAGAGTTTATCAATTTATTCATCTGAGTTAATAATGATTGCTATGTAGACTGGATTTCATCAAAATAAATTTTCTCTTGTTTCCAATTTAGTCATTACAAATTAGACAAAGTAACAAGCAGGAAATTCTATATTTTACTGTGTTTCAGGAGAAAGTCTCTTTTATTATACAAGGATTTGTTCCCCATTAGATAATCTAAGGACTGGGGTCTGCTTCCTTGTCAAACCTACTTCTAGCTGCATGTTGGCCCTCTTCGCTTTCTGTTATAAAGGCAAAGCTGAACAGGCTTTTTCAGTATCAGTTATATATTCAATATAACCTATGTGGATTTTGAAAACAAAATGACACACTACAATTTCTTAGCATTGCTCTTTGCATCAGAAACACATTTTTCCAACTTTGCCATAGGCAGTAAAGAGCTTTTCTGCAATCGCTCAAAAAAATAATTAAGAATATGACCATCAACTTTTCTCAGTTCCCAAAACAATATATATATAAACATGGTAAACAAGCTTTACCTTTCAACTTGAAAGTTAGTTTGTAGATATATGCACGTCCTCACCAATAGCACACCAGCACGCTCTGTCCTGGAGTCTGTAGTCAACACAACAAAATATGATGATATATATACACACACACGCACACGCACACCCCACAAGTGATTATCAAGAGTTCTGTTTGAGCCCTGTTTATCAAGTGAGATTGTTCCTAGAAAGTGATCCTTTAAACAAACACTACGTCTCCAATGACTTGGGAAGAAATAAAATACATTTGGATGGGAAAAAAAAAAGATGAAAATACCCACATACCATTTATTCTGTTAAGCATGTAATATACATTGTCATTTTGACATGCAGACCATTTCTCTCTTTCCATCACCTCCATGTCAGTCCAATTCATTCATTCTGACCAGTGATGAAACTGGGCAAGGAGGGTGGGGGTGGGAGAGGAAACATGGAAAGATTGTTTTCCTAGACGATGTATTTGCAGGGCATTTTTAAACTCATCAGATTAAGTATTGGAAAGATGGTGGCCTTGATAAAGGAAGCCCTGCTGGTTTTCTGTCTCCTTGAGACAATAAAACCACATAGCTGTGTCTGTGTCTTTCTATTTTGGATTGTTCTGCTTTAACACATAAGAGACTGAAGTCCAGCTACTATTCTTAATTAACTCAAGTTAAACTAATGAGGGTGGGTTGGTGGGGAGGGGGAGAGATGGAGGATGGGGAGGAGGAAGGAGGGATGATTAAAAAAAAAAGTGACCGAGCTTCAATTTAAAGGAAGGATCCAGTACAATGTATATTTACTGTAGAAATGTTTGCAAAGCCTCATTCTTTTACTAAAAGTAATGAGAGCAAAGGATAGCCTGGAATAAATCCATTCATCAAAGAATATATTCTGAATTGAATGCTGCTGTTAGTATATTCTCTTCACTATATGACACAGGATCTTCAGTCTAAGTCTCCATTAGGAATAAGCATCCAGTAATGCTTGTATATAATGGGTAAAACCCATACTGTAAAAAATACTTCCCAACTGTAGTCAAAAACAACAAAGAATAAACAGGAACTTGAGATTTTTGAGAGGTTACTTTATATCATAATTCATTTTTTAGCCAATTGTATCCACCTATTGCTGCTGTTTTTGTTTTATTTAATCTGACTGTGCATTTATTGTGCCTTCTGTTTCTGTAACTGTTAATTGTTAGCCACCCCAAGCAGTAGCATTTTACAGATAGAGAAATGAGGGCAAGTGCCCCAGCCCTATAATGGAAGAATCTGTATCCAAAAAATTTAGATAGGATCAAGCCTTTTCATTCATTCAACTAATCTATTAACATATTTTCAGAGCCCTTATACGCTGTCCTGTTTACTGGGCATTGACTCCAGGGAACAAAGGCAGTGGAGGAAGTAGTTATGGATGCAATGTGGGTAGATGGCTGAAACTAACAGTCTGCCCCTCACCTTCTCAGATGTTAAAGATGGTATCCCTTTATAATAAAGAGATAATAGTTTTGGTTCCAGCTGTAGTCAGCACTTTGGCATTATTGCCTGGAATTAGTCAAATTATGTCCAATTTGGTTTGTGGTGGGCTAAGAAGGGTTGATTTTGCTTAAATTTTAAGTGCTACTGTGCACTTCAATAAGTAATTTTTTGTGGGTTTATCTCACTTTGCCGCTATGAAAGACCTGGAGGCAGGAGGACAGGAAGAATCTTGTGAGTTCCTACCAGAAAATGGTTCCTCTTAGTATCAGACAGCTGACAAATTGGTGTCCATCCCATGGTTGGGCCCATCCATGATTACAGGCTGATGTTCTTACCACATAGTCCAAGATCAGCCTACAGAAAGCGGTTAGAGTGGGCTTCAGGGGCACCTGTGAGAGGGTCAAAAAAGTCAAGATTGCGTCTGCAACCATGTGATCAAAGCCCAACTCTTTTTTAACATGCATTGCACATGCGATGCACTAGGGTGTGGCTTCAATTGCACAGTTGTGAATGCCATCTTGATTTTTTTTAGAGCTTCCTCTGTGGATGGTCCTGATGGGCTTTAACTATTATGTTTAGAGTGTCACAGAGTAGATGTGGAACACTAACTTAATATGGACTAGATCACCCATTATTATTAAGCACTATTTTCTCTGAGCCAAGCAATAGTGGTACCTAGTCAACAGCCAAACAGCAAATAAGATTAGCCTCCTGCTACCTCCTACTTGTTTCATAATTCACATATATTCTGCACTCTTGTTTCTCCAATGGGGAGGCAGAGAAGATCCCATTATTCCTTTAGCAGCAGCCTTTCTCTCTTCTTGCCATAAATGGTTTGAGTGGGCATGATAGAAAGACAATGAGAGGGTGTGCATGTGCACAAGGGTAAGAGTCATGCACATGATTCTCTTTTCTTGGTTAGGGAATTGCAGCAGATTAGGAGGGCTCCTGCAGGCACACCTCCCAACCTGTCCACTCTCTCTGAGACTATAATTCTGGTAGCAGCTATCGTGTGCTTCTGAAAGTATAAAAATGTGAAGCACTCGGGCTGAAACCTATGGCTGATGCAGGTAAGACAAGTGGAGATCTGGACAAGTGCTGTCTTGGTACTGCAGCAGGCCCAGATTTTAGATAAGCTGCTTCTAACAAACCAAGGCCTTTTTTCAGTTTAATGTAGGTCTGCACAACTTTGAAAACATCACACATAGCCCTGGCAGACCATCAATAAATCCTTGAGATCGGCTGCTTCCCTCAGACTTTAGTTTTGAGTCGCCAAACACCTGATATTGCCACAATGTAAGTTTGGAAAGTTCAGTTCGGCTTGGTGAATCACTAGCTGTGCTGGCCCGATTTAATGCAACTGGTTTGAGTGTAATAGCAACATGTGCCAGATTAGAGAATTTTTCAAACACAGAAATGTGTTTAAATGGCAAACATGAATTCATGGATACAAATACGAAAGACTGCCTTCCCAACACAGCAAATTCTGCTCTGTCCATAACGATTTTTAATATCTACTGAATTCCACCTGGCAAGATCCTGAAGCCAACTTGTGTATTATCTGTGAATTCAGCTGAAAACTGGATTTGTACTATTGCATGCCTGCACTTCTACTTTGGGAAGCCTATCCAAAATTTTATAGCATCATCCAGCCATTACTGCAGCAATCTTAAGTGTATCCACTTTAATGATACATTATTACAGCAATAGAAATTGCTGGCATAGAAAGCCTTGACATTCCTTTGAATGGAAGTAAACCCTGGCAGCTTTAACACACAAACACCATGGCTGGTGTTTATTATGGCATGGGGCAGCTGTGCAAAGTTTTCATCAAAAGAAAGAAAGGCAATTCCCCTATGTGGAAAGAAGAGCAATATAAAATAGATGAGTAATCTATGTTCCTCCAAGAAATTTGACATGGCCTAACTTTCTGCTTCTTTTCCTTCACCTCTCTATTCCCAATTTACTGATGGAACAAATGTTCCTGGTGTTCTAGAAAGCCTTGTTTCTGCAAGGCCAGTGACCATGGGAACTTCTTAGAGCAGAAGCCCAAGTGTCAGAAGTCATAGCTCATTATTGGCCCAGTGGTTCTTGATCCCTGCAAGGAATATGGTTTTTCATAAATTCAATATTTCTGCTTCTCTCTCTCTCTACACACACACACACACACACTTACACTATAATGGACCTGAGGCAGATGGTATAGGAACTATAGTAGAAGTTCCAAGACATGAGGATTACGGTAAAGAAGCTGTCAGAATGTCGGCATTCTAGGGTGGTAGGATCAGAATGCATTTGCTGATTCTGTTACAAAATAACAGCACAACTTTTGGTGAAGCCTTTATTTATATACAGATGTATATGTCTTTGTTGGTCATGGCTTGACTGGGTTTAATAGAAGTACTGGCCGCTTTCAAAAACTTAAAGGGGAAGAATAGGAAACATGGTTCATTGTCATTATTTATGCCTAACAAGGCCAGTCAGTCAGTAACCTCTTTGCAGATGAAATGAAGTTGATGGGCTGAAGAAAAGGAGGCATTGTGCCCTGACAGGCTGAGGCGTGACCTGATGTATCCTAACCACCTCGGATGATGTCAGAAGACCAAGTGAAAGGAAGAAAAAGGTGGAACAGATCAGAACTGAGATCTCAGGAGAAGGAAATTGAAGAAGAAAGAATAAGATTAGAAAGTAGCCTTTCATATCTGGCATCACACTCTCCAGACATATTCCATCATCCTCAGCCAGTGTCGCTAATGATGGGAGTTGATATGAATTGTACTCTAATGCTAATGAAGGGCACCAGCCTAGAGAAAGAGACTCATGTATATCCTCCAAAGAGTGGACGGGGGTTGGAAAGAAACAGATGCAACAAGATCAGATTGTTGTTGTTATTATTATTATATAAAAATATATATTTTTTACCTTGCAGATAACAAACAAGCAAATAAAGATGTTGGGATAACCCAAACTAATCATCCTTACCCAGAGGTAATCTTTATTAGGTAAAATTCACATTTAAATAAATAGCTATGCTCACCTATGGATATCCTTCAAAAATAAGCTGGCTAATTTTGGTGGGACTTAATCCTAGATAAGTAGGTAGACGATTTTGTTCTTACAAGTTTAAGAACTTAAATGATCCTTAATTGGAATGTAAGGATTCCTGGCATTACAGGAAAGATGCAATTCCTTTGCTTCTCTATTTAATTGCATATGTAATATAGAACAATATTTTCACATTATTCAATTAATTTATTCATTCATTTTGTTTATTACCCCCTTTTTTCTACAGGAGCTCAAGGTAGTTTAAACGGGGATCTGCATTTTATTCCTGCTGCAACCCTGTGAAGTAGGTTGGGCCCAAAGTCATCTAATGAATTACCACGACTGAGAGTAGACTTGAGATTCAGAATCCTCTAAGCAGGTCATTTTGGTAGCATTTTGCTGCTTTACACTTTGATCAGCCATTTGTTTGCATATAATTTTTTTCTACAAGTATTGCAACTCTCTCCATTTAAAAAAAAAAAAGAAAATATTGCTCTGATTTTAAGATGTTACGGTAACATATGTATTATATTAAGGCACATTTCTGGAAACATGTTCATATGGTGTGGAGAAGAGAAAGGGGTGGAAGGGTGAAGGAGAGAAATGGAGTGTTCTCCACAAAACCCTGCACATTCCAAGCACATTTACTTCTGGAAAACTGTCAACTACCCCAAAATGGATCCCTGTGTACTGCAAGAGAAAACTGAATATTTGGGAAATTCTTTGGCACTTTCTTTGCCCTGAAGATAAAGCTTTGCTTTGCACATTCTTGATGTAAATAAATACATACATACATATGTCCACATGTAATGCCAAACTTCTCTTAATTTTATTAGGGAAAAAGAAATGAAACAGATAATTCAATTTCTTGTGATTAATTTGCTACTAAATTATTGGATACTGCTGGGAAGTAAAATGAGTTGATCCTGTTCAAGGTAAAGAACAGATAAGAGAGAAATGAACAGCAAAGGCATCTTGATCATGATATTAATGGAACACAGAGTTTCATTTCCTTAAATAGGCACAGAATAGCTAATCCAAATACAAAGGGCCAAAGTTCTTTTGGGAACTTTTCCTGAGTCAATGCAAGCCAAAATAGATTTCCAGCTTTAACAAAGGATACATTACTGATTAGAAGTGAACTGCTGTAAAAACTATTTTGCTGAAGAACATGTTAGTAGTTGAAGGCTGCAGAAGCTAAATTCTCTACTATTTAAATAAAATACATAATCTTGGGAAGCACTTGTCCAACATAGCAAGGTTTAAAGAATCCATGTACTCTAAGTCTGTACTGCAAATCATAATGAAGCATTTTGCTTCTAAAATATCTAAAGATACAAAGACACCCTGCTAAATCTACCTTACAACCTTGAATATTGGTTATGAAAACACTTTGAAACAATAATTGTGAACTCTGTATTAGCAAAATTAGCTCATTTTCCTCATTCCTCATAATTCTCTGTGGCATTTGGTACATTTTCAGATGATCAAGAAAGACTGTATTTTGTAACAGAATTCACCATTTGATAATGTTGCTTCATTTAATTTGACCAAACTGGAATCTCTATATTCTAGAAAATGGTTTTGAGAATTAAGAGTTGCTGTTGTATGCTGTTATCTTTAAATGACAGAAATAAACACATCTAATTCTATAGATGGAATAGAATTAGAACATGTGAAGAATGTTTTATCCACTTTAACTGCAGATATGCCTAGTTAAGAAAACAACAACCTCTATGCTCTTTTTACTATAAATGCATCATATCTTAACAGTGATTGAATGTGTTTAAAGAATGACATAGACTGGTGATCTTTAGTCTCTCTCTGCTCAGTTGTGACCTTTGTGATGGCTTTCCTCAACATTAGTATTCAGAATTTATAGTAATCCAAGTTTTTGCTGGCCTAGCTATTTCAGCATTGCTGAGTTGATTCAAAGCGCTGGCAAAAGGCCACATTTTGACATTCTCTCCCTTCTTATACACCATGGTTCACTTCACTCATTTCAGCAAAACTCACCTTTCAAGTTCTATATTTATGATGGCTTTTTGGGTTTCCAGGCAAGATGGGTTCTAAGGAAAATATTACTAATATATTAATATCTGGAGGCTTTTTTGTAATTGGGAATTACTAGCCAATCTTGAATTGGTAGGAGAAAACTTCAGAGGTGAATCTTTTGATCAGTTTTCCAATCTAGACGTTTATGTGACAGACAGGAAGAGGAAAGGCTATGATAGATAGAAAGAGAGGAAGGTAAATTCGAAACTTGCTGGAAATAAAACGACGATTATCAGCCATTCTGTTCATTTTTTAAGGTATTGCCTACTCACGATGTATTTGATGCATATGTACATAACTAGATATTTCAAGGTACAACTTTTCCAAAATGTTTCCTGAAAAAGACACCTAATTTAAGGAATGTAGACAAGATGTTCCATTTGTAACCCCAAAATGTCCAACCTTGGTCTTCTCTCTGAAAAAGGAGCTCAGGATAGTGTGCATTAATCAGATCAGCAGCAGAGCTGAAATAGGACAGCAGCGCAGGACACCTTTTCTCCAGCACAGAACAAAACAATCTCAATCAGGTTGTAGCAGCTACCCCATAATTATTATCCAGGAATACATTGAGGCTGAGATGTAGTACACATAGGAGAGAGGCACAATATGCTGAAGTTAAGGGTCAAGAGAACTGGAGAAATTCCTGAATTTGGCCCTCTTCTTAATACTGGGTCCCAAATACTTCATTACAATAAATTTAAAAAATACTGAATCCTGGGAGAAGCCCTTGCCAATATTTACATTTATAAAGACTGAAAGGAAGATTGAAACAAAACAAAGAAGAAGGCAAGAAAGTTAGCTTTTTAAAAAAAAAAAAATTCTCAATTCTATAAGCAACTGAAAATACCCCAAAAACTATTATCTTGGTAAGATGCCAGGTATGTGTTTGAGAAATAGATGAAATAAAGACTGGGACTCCATCACTGGCTTTTTTTGAAAAACAAATTAATTTGATGCTCTCTAGGAGAGAATTAGTTAGAAAACTACTAAATATGTTGCCAAGCAACCATCTCTAGTTCTAAAGCCCGTAATAATTAGAGAGAAAAAAGCTTTAAATGTTTTTTTTTCTTTAACAAAAGAGAACTGGTGAGTCATTTTCAGATGCTGGAAAATAGAACTCTAGCAGAGAAAAGTTCTATGTTTCTGAAATCCTATTTAGGGATATTTAGCACAATTAAGTCATCTCCAAATACCGGGGTCAATAAAATGCAAAAAAGCTCATAAATCCTGTCATGCTAAAGGCATCCAAGGTAAAACTATGGGAAGGCACCTTGTCTTAAATAGCCAGGATAAATGGAATAGAGTGGTTGCCTTTTTAATGGTTTTTCCACCAGACAAACTAGAAAGGGATGGTGAAGATCCTTCAAGTCAAGAGTTCTGATGTCTGGTGATATTCTACTTACAATATAGTATCTATTCAGCAACTTAAAACAGGAAACGTCAACAGAGTTTGATAAATTATTTGTGAAACTGGGTTGATTTTTTCAGAAAATAAACAATATACATACTTACAAAAAAGGGAGGGAGAGAGGGAGGGAGGAAGGGAGGGGATCTCCCCTCCGCTACCATCCCCCCAAAATACAGGCATAAATTCACAGATGCATATACTTACATACATTTCTACATAAGCATTTCAATAAATGGTAGCCATATTTCATTGTAATCATCCACAACTATGCTGTGTTGATAAGTTGATAAGTGATATATTTGTATGTTGTTAGTATCAAATCTGTGGATCACTGAGTAGTTGGAGCCATATATTTAGCTTTTATATGCTGAGACAAATAAGGTTTTTTTTAGTTAAAAGTAAGGCACAGAGATGATGCTTTCTTTGTCCAGGTGTTAATTTCCATGAAATATGAATACAATTTGAACGAATATCAATGTCTGAAAATATTCAATCTTGACTTGAATTTGATTAATTCTTCCAAGAAATTCTTCCCAAAAATGGAACCATGACAGGACACTATAGTACATTCCTGTTCAAAGCATTGCTTTCATTGCATCTTCCACAACAAGATGATTACTTCAGCCTTTTCAATATAATCACAATGCAGTCTAATAAATACAAAATACTGCTTTTTGTTGAATAAAATGTAATCTAAGATTTATTGAAGTTTTTAGCATTGATATTAAAATATCTTCCCATTGTCTAAGCAAAATAGGAATCCCTAATTCTTTATTCCATTCAAACATTCAAGTTTGCATATCAAATGAATTCATCACCAACAGAATTTTAGGAAGACTAATTATAAGGTTCTTTGTGCCACAGGGTCCTGCCCATGATCACTCATCTCCTTGTGACCTCCAGACTGGATTATTGCAATGCCCTTGAAGAGTATTTGGAAGCTTTAACTGCTGCAGAACACAACAGCATGGGCAGTTACTGGCGCTGGTTACTTGGCACATGTGACACCACTGCTTCATGAGCTTCATTGGCTTCCAGTGTGCTTCTGAGTACAATTCAAGGTGCTGGTTGTCACTTTTAAAGCCCTTCATGACTTGGGACTGGGCTACTTGTGGGACCGTCTCTCCCCAATTGTCTCTACCTATCCTACCTGATTCAGGAGGAGGAGCGTGCTCCGAGCACCATCGGCTAAGGAGTGTTGACTTGTGGGACCCAGAAGGAGAGATTTTTCTGCCCTGGGCCAGCCCTGTGGAACATAATCCCCCTGAGATTAGATTGGCCCCATCCCTGATGGCCTTGAAAACGTGGTTTTACGATCGAGCCTGGGGCCTTGCATATATGCAGACAGATAGAGTCTGTCTCCTGGTTGTGTAGATAATTGGCTGGATAATGCCTGGCTATATGGCATTATCCAACCTATTGTTTGGATAATGCTATCTGTTTTATTTTTATTTTTTATATTGTGTATTTGATGTATTTTATTTATTTTATTGTAAGCCACCTAGAGTCATGTAAAAGAAAGAAGGGCAGCTATATAAATTGAATGAATGAATGAATGAATAAATAAATAAATAGGATTTAACAATCACTTGTAGCAGATTAGGTGTTTTGAAGTTGAAAATGCAGATCCCAATTGGGATATCAATAGATAGAATGATAAATATTGCCACTGAATCCTCCTAGGCCATTAATACTTTCTATTTAAAGCAAAAAATAATAATTCCAAAATTTTCATCTGCCAATTGATGCAAAGTATAAATCCTGGTTTCCATCCACACTTTCCATATAATAATTCTGACATCTGGATCACTGAATAGCATCACCAATTTAGCATTAGAAAAAGGATCAAAATGCCATTTCCTAGAAATACTGTAATACATTCTTCAAATTTATGCAATAGTAAAAGGAAATATTTGAAATATATTACATACTGATCTCAGCAGTAATTAACCAAAGGTGTCATGTATAAATAACAGGGGATGTGGGACACTAATCTAACTAATGGTGTCATATATGAATGCATTGGGTGGGGGCAAGAAGAATTTCCAGTAAAGGAATTTATTCAAAATTTGGCACTAGTCAACAGATACACAAAATTTGGAAAAGCAAGCAATTCTCTTTAATAGACATCTGTACTTTTCAAAAGGTATCTTAACAACAACAACAAAGCCTCTGTCTTTTCATGAGAAACATTTTCAGGTTGGCTATACAGATTTTAGTCAAATTTTAAAAATTAAAAATTTACAGTTCAGAGGAATTACATAACTTCTTAATCTTTAATAGCTATAACAATTTTCATCTTTTTTTCCCTTTAAATTATTTGCTAAGATCTGACCAGGT